CAAACCACCCACTTCACCTCATTCCACCTCACCAAGCCCCACTCCACCTCATTCATCACTTTCCACCACCTTCCACCATCACCTATCACCTTCCCAAACCCCTTCGAATGAATCCGGTCCATCTCCACCAGCATCCCGGATCCAAGTAAGTTCTCTTTGGCCTTACCAATTCGATTATCTATGCATTTTCTCATCCAATCTCGACTTTTTCACACTGAGGACAATGTGATTTAAGTCTGGGGGCGGATTTCATCCCTTTCTAACCACTTCTATTTCATGAGTCTTGCATTATCTACACTTTTTGCATTTTCCTTAAAGTTTTTCAAAAACGGTTTTCAAAACAAAATATGTTTTAAAGGGAATGGTGAACATGAATCAATGATAGTTGACTGTGTGCTTTTAGACTGATCCTAGTGACATGCTCATTCATGATTTAGGACTAGACTAGGCGGTAGCTAACCACATTTGAAACGAAGTACCCTAGAGGAATTTGAATGATTTTGAGTTATATGAAGGAATACACTAGCTCTGTTTTATTTGGACTTAACTTGGACTTAATTCTCTTAATGAAGCATTAGACTAGGAAAACGAATCATACATTCAGGACTCCTTTACCCTTTTTTTTACCACTCTCTGTTGATCCTGAATGGCTAGTTCATCTTTAGCTGGTTCACCACCTTAACCAATCCTCTTTCAAACCATATGCACTCTTGTTTTCTATTGTCATATATGCAGATATGTGTAAAAATGTTGGAGAGAAAGTGGAACGACGCAGTTTTCAGTCACCAAAGACAGAGACCTGCGATTTGCCGGAAAACTTCTCGGAAGGACTCAACAAATGAGGAAGCTCAGTTTGCCTTAGAAAAAATTCAAATTTTGGTACAATCTCGTCTTCTAGTCTCTCTCTCTTTAAAAGGCATCCCCTTTCCAAAAAAAAAAAATCCAAAAATAGGAAAAGAAATGAGATAAAAGCCTTAGAGAGTCTAGAGAGGTCGAATTTTTAAGTCCCAAGGCAACTGGAGTTCGATTTTATGGAGTTTTGGAGATCACTTTCTGATTCCCGGAAAGAATCTAAGTCTGGGGGAATAGTTGTTCACAACAAAGGAAGAAGGATTATGCAACAACATTGGACAAGAAGAAGTAACTGAAAATTGTGGTCATCAACAGGTCCTTATCTCTCTTGCGGTTTTGCATATTATCTTGCATCCTCCAGATTCATCAGGTAACCCGAAACACTTTAACTCCACCACTTAAACAGCCCTTTAATGCCAAACACCGTCTACCATGGATGATGTCTTTAATGAGAATTCACTATTGCACTTAATGAATGTAAAAAGCTAGTTGACTGGAATCAAGATTTAGATTGTTTAAGTTTTGCATGACGGAAAAAGTAGACTAGTATCTTTTGTGTCTTGGTGAGAATTTTCTAGACTAAGTTGTGGATTGATGCACGATCTTTGGTCCTAGTTTAGGAGTTCATGTCTCTGAGATTTGTGCATTCTCTATTTTTGTTTTCACTTAACCAGTTTAGACTTTTGTTTTGTTTGAGGACAAACAAAGGTTTAAGTCTGGGGGAGTTGATAACACCGTATTTTGACCACTTTTATGGATCGTTTTGAAATACTTTTTCTATGATTTTAATTGCTTTCAAGTACTTTTATTACGTTTTTCTAGTATTTATAGTTCCAAGACTCTTTTCAGAAAACTTAGGGGAAAGCTTAACAAAATGGATAGAAGACCAGATTTTCAGCTCAGAGTCAAACCGTCAGAAGTTCACCCCCGATTGAAGGCCTTCTTACCGTCTGATCCAGCTCAAATTTGGAGATCTCAAAGATGGAAGTATCAGCTTTCCAGCACACTTTACAGCTTTGCAATCCAACGGTTCAATCAAAAGATACGCGAAGAGCAAGATGTCCCGTAAACCAGCCGGCAAGCACTTCCACCCGCGGCCAACAGCCATTTTACCACGGTCAGAAACTTTCCGACCCCGGCCAACCATCCATTCCCCGTGGCCACGCACATCCCGACCGCGGCCAGCCAACTCCGAACTTGAAGGCCCATTTCTGAAGCCCAAAATGATTTCTTCATTTGGAGAAACCCTAAGTGACGCCCAGAGATGTCTTGAGCACTATAAATACATGTTTTAGGAACCATAATTCGTATCACCTCATATGCTCTTATTGTTTTAGAATACTTTTTAAGTTTTAGCTTTTAGGGAGAGAGAGATTTGTCTCTTGAACCCTTGTTCTTTCTTTTTCAATTTCGATTTATGTTCTACTTTTTAATACTATGTTTTTGATTTATTGTTGGGTATAAGGGATTTTCGATGGAGATACATATGTTCGATAAGGATTTCATGAGCTATTGAAGCCGAATCTTAGAACTTTTTCTTCTGAATTTATTTTTACTGCATGAGAGTAGCGTCATGAACTACAATCTGATCCAGATGCTTGGTGATACGAAAGTGTTCATCCGGTGTCAGATCTAGTTTGGGAGAGCAAAACAAATATAGGAGTGGAAACCTACCTATGGGCGATTTGTGAATGCTGACGAGTCTTAAACATAATGCATCTCTTCTCTTCCAGGGCCAGAGTGAAAACCTACTGGTCAGGGTTGAGAGAGATAGTTGTCTATGATCACGACAGTGATGTATTCATACGTCCGTGACTCTAGTTTAAAAAGTTTAAGCTAAGATCTTATCAAATTTACTCTCTAGCAATGTTTTGAATCGTTCATACCCCGGAGAAAACTTTCCTGAAACCCAGCGCCTTCTTTCCTATAGATTTACACCGATTTTATTTCAAGCTTTAGTTCATCACTTTCATTCTCTTAATCGATTTTCATTCAAGCAATTAGGTTTAGCCATTTTCTCATTTTTAGTCGATTTCATTAAGTTTAGTTATTAGGTCATTTTAATTCCCGTATTTTCTTTTTAAGATTAGTTTTTACGTTTTAAATACACCACCAAAACCCTCACAAAAATCGTCTGGTTCTAGACTTCCTTACTTTATATTTCTTTCGAAGGCTTTTGCAGGAAAAATCCTTCTTTCCTGTGGATTCGATCCCTAAGTACTACAATCGATCAGCTGTGCACTTGCGGCTATTGATTTCATTTAAGATAAAACTTGACACCCTCACCACATGACACATCAGTGGTCTTACTGGTGCTCGACCTGTTGACACTCCTCTTGAACAGCAACACAAGCTTCTCTCTTCTACGAATCCACCTTATTCAGCTCCGGAACAATATCGACTTCTTGTGGGTCGGCTGGTTTATCTGACTCACACTCGACCAGAGCTTAGTTATGCTGTCAATATACTAGCTCAATTTATGCAAACGCCACTTCTTGATCATTGGAACGCAGCTCTCCGGTTAGTGCATTATCTGAAAACTGCACCTGGTCAAGGCATTGTTCTATCTTCAAAGTCCCCCATCCAGGTCAATAATTACTGCGACTCTGACTATAATTCCTGTCCAAATACACGAAGGTCATTGACTGGTTATATGGTTATGTTTGGTGATTCTCCTTTGAACTGGAAGACTAAAAAACAGGAACGAGTTTCTCTCTCTTCTACCGAAGCAGAATATCGAGCAATGGCCATGACTTGCAAGGAATTACTTTGGCTTAAGGAGGTCCTTACGTTTCTTGGTATTTCTCACTCTCAGCCGATGAATCTTTTCTGTGACAATGAATCTGCTCTTCAGATTGCAGTAAACTCCGTCTTTCACGAACGAACAAAACATATCGAAAGTTACTATCATTTCATTTGTGATGAGATTACTGCCGGTGTTATTGCTACCTCACACATTTCTACTCACCAACAACCAGCAGATATATTCACTAAAGCTTTGGGTTGTGATCAGTTTCAGTATTTACGGTCCAAATTAGGCGTTTTTAACTTACACTCCATCTTGAGTGGGAGTGTTACAGAATAGGATATATTCCAATTACTTAGATCCTATATTCTCTTTGTATATTCTCTACTTGATACACAAGTCTCGATTGTAACTATATATACTCGTCAATATCAATGAGAAAGGCAACGCATTCCTTACGATTTACACTATTTGCTAATCAATTAATCTGATTAAGAAAATTTTGTTTTTCCTATGAATAAGGAATTTCTGTAGTTTTTTTATTTTAAAGACAACAAAAAAGGAAACTCGAGGCTCCATGAGGAGGAATTGGGAGATCATTTATGCAACCATGTAACACAAAATTACTCTACTGGTATTTCTCATTATTTAGCTATGGAAAATTAATTAAAAGTAAACCATCAGTAAGGAAACGTTATAGTAAAAAAATTAAAAAAGGAAACTCCAGCCAAAGTTTTTCCTCTTCAAAATGGAAACAAATAATCTAAAGTTGTGTTGTTAATCGAGAAAACAAAGACTCTTAACTGGCCTGAAGTATATGTGTGGTTTTAATTTGGGCTAAAAGAATTGAATTTGCAATAAAAAAGAGAACAGTTGCTGCATATATATAATGTATAGTTGTGTGGATCTCAGTTTTAGCCATAATCAATATCTATGAATCCATAGATTGTGAAACGTAACGAGAGTTTGCTAATCAGTTAGTTAGTCTGATTAAGGAATTTCGGTAGTTAAACCATAAAAACAAAAAACAAAAAAGGAAACTCGAGGCTCAATGATGGATTGGGAGATCATTAGTGCAACTATGTACACCAAAATTATTCTGCTGGTATTTTTTATTACTTACCTTTAAAAAATTAATTAATTAAAAGTAAACCCTGAATAACGAAACCTTATTGTAAAAAAAAAAAGGAAAAAGGAAACTCCAGTGATAATTTTCCTTTTCCTCCAGCGATTGTTTTTCCTTTTTTTCGAATGGAAACAACTAATCTAAAGTTGTGTTGTTAAACCGAGAAAACAAAGACTCTTAACTAGTATAAATAAATCACTAGACCCTCAGAGATCACATAACAATCACAGAGATTCATATAACCCCTCTCTAATTAAGATTACTAATTTCTCTACAATGGCAACCTCCGATAATACTTTTTCGATGTCGACCATGTTCAATGCTTTGCCACAAATCCGTTTCTCAAAAGGAATCTCCTCCGGTTCCATTCTTCCTCCTCCGGGTTTCACTCCACGCGCCTCCGCCTTATCAAAAACGCGCTCAAACCTGTTTAACCTAATGACCAGCAGCGAAGGTGTGTCCAACTTTAAAGAAGTGATCTCAAAGTTAGACCGAAGACAGCTTCTAACGATGTCGTCGTTGCTGACGTCAGACTCTGATTACTTCACAGAAGTTGTCAGAAACAAGAACGGGTCAAGACGCGTGCAGAAGCTCCTCGGGATTTCAGATGACGCGGACGCCTTCTTCTTCTCCGCTATCTTGCGCCGTTTCCTTAATATCATGACCGACAAGTACGCATCCTACGTGGCGATACGAGCCATGGTCGTTTTCGACCGCGAGAAGAAACACGCCATGTACGAGCACGTTCTCCATTACGCGCTCGATATAGCGCGTGATCAACACGGATGCATCGCGCTCAACGAGATCATAACCGACGCCGACGATGCTTTCTACAGAAACCAGCTGCTAGACGTTGTCGCGCGCAACGCTCTCTGCCTAAGCAACGATGCTTCAGGGAACTTCGTGGTCCAACACGTGCTTAAACTCTATGACTTGCGTTGCACGCATAACGTAGGGGTTAGTCTTCGTGGACATTGTGTTGATTTGTCGTTTAAGAAGTATGGAAGTTACATCGTGGAGAAGCTTCTTGAGTCAAGGGAGTCAATGTTTGTGGTGGTTATGGAGCTTTTGGAATGCGATGGAGATAGGTTGATGAGGCTGGCGAGGAATGAGTTTGGAAATTTCGTGGTGGTCAAGGCACTGCGACTCACGAAGGAGATGAATAGGACCGATTTGTTTTGGGATTTGGTTCAGAAGCTGATGCCTTTTCTCCAACTCTTGCGTAGTTCTCACGGAAATAACATTGCAAACATCTTGGAGTCATGTTCTATAAGAACAAGATGCTCAAATTAAAGTGTTAGGTTGTTCTACTGGTTGATTACTGAAAACTTGTTAAAAGAAGTTTGTCATTGATTGTTTGTGTAATGATCCAAGTTTGATTCAAATATAATGACATAACATTGACTCTTACTGATCATTCATATCTTTTTTTGGTTTTCTCTAACTTAAATCAAGTAACTTAGCAACATCAACATTTTTGCCTCCTGCAAAAAGCTATAAATCATCTTTAAGATTCATATATACTATCAGAACCAATGGATAAACCAATCTCATAACATAATCGAATAAAGATTCAGAGCCTTTACTGCGTTTATTATCCTTTATTTTAAACATCAGCTTCTAGGCAGCATATTCAAGATACATACGCCAAATATTTTGACAAAATAGCTAGTGGTGGCCACTTTCTTCGAACACGTAACAATATCAAATCTTCTGGCAAAGCACTGATCATGTCGTTGCAATCTTTCTCTTTATAATTTTTTGAGAAAGTTCAGCTTTTTCTTGCATCTTTAAATTATTTGTCAAGAGCAAATCTGAGTAAGCCTGACGAGACAGAACAAGCTAGACTTCCTAAAAGAACAGGTGAGACAGAAGTATTAGAGCAAAGACTTCCTCGACATCAGAGATTCATCAAATGTTAATGCAATGAGTAAAGAGAAAATGATATTGGGCCAAAACAAGAGGAATCCCAGCAAATTTCTCAAAGAAGAAACGTTGAAGCAGGCCCGGCCTTGAGGGCAGGCGAGAGAGGCGACCGCCGCGGGCATCTACTCTAAAAAGGGCATATTTTTTGCAGCATCCACTATAAAGGGGTATATTTTTTATTTATGCCCCTTTATAAACAAACTTTTGATCCATAAGATGTATTGTATTTATAACCCAAAAAACCCGACTCTCAAACCCATTAGATAAAGGAAAACCTAAATCTAGCCCAATAAGGAAACCTTACCGTGGGGGGCTTCGCCCTCCACACCCCCCAAGTGAATCCACGTCCACTAATGACCCATTACATTCCTCAGCTCGTTTTAATAGGGTCTTTTTAGTTATCTTTATAACCAGAAACACACAAAAATGGATTATCTTTGTTATCAATTGAAACAGCTATATTTGAAAAACTCGACTACGACAGTTTAATGAACGATTTTACACGGAAAAATGCAAGAAAATCTATATTTCAGCAAAAAACTATATATTTTATTGGATTTTTTTCTTTTCTTACAAACCGTTTATGAAGTTTGATTGTTTTATAAAGTTTTTGTTTCATTTTATTATTATTTTAATTTTGAAAAAAAAAATATAAAAATGCATATTTTAAAAAGTTAGACGCGGGCATCCAAATGGATTGGTCCGGCACCGCGTTGAAGCCCAAGATTTAAACTCTATCTCCTTCCAAGTTTTCTTCTTCAAGCTTTGCTTCTACCTTCAAGAAGAACTTACAAGTCAGAACCGAAAAGCTTTTTGTTTTATCTACTAGCCGTAGCTGTGATTGAGAAGAAAAAAAAAGCCCTAATTAGTTTATGTTTTTTGCTGGGTGGGTTTTTTCTTCTTTGAGAAAAAGAAAAAAAACGACTTTTTGGGTCGTTAATATTGGGCTTTCGATAACTGGCCCATGTTTCAAGACTCTATTTCGATTAGTGTTCTATCTAGCATTGGCGGCGACTCCAATGTACATTCTTCTAGGGTTTCTAAATGCTTGTACCCTAGTTCCGCCTCCATATAATAATATATGCAGAGTTAATACTTAGGGTTCGAAAGCCTGAGATATAAAACGTTGTCTCGGTATTTCTTTGTCTACTTTGGGAAAAAATGGTACGCCATTGCATTTTTTTCCAAATGTTGACAAAGCATCACCGTGATGACGTCATGAGAGAGTTTTCTGAACATATGTTGCTTATCCAAATATTGTCTGTTTTCTTGCTTTTCAATATTCTTGCTAATTTCTCTGACAACTGATCTTGTTTTTTTATGATTTTATTTGAATGCAATCGTCACTTCAAACCAAAACCTTGTTGTTATAGGTGAATTATCTTTCTTTTATTTTGTATGAATTGAAAGAACAATCGACGACATCTTTTAATTTTGACCACATAGATCTTTTGTCTTTGGTTTAATCATTTTGGTCAGACGTGACGCTGTTGACTCTGTTTTATTATCACTTAATCAACGGTATTGGTAGAGGTATTGTCTTTTTTAGTCTAATTATTAATGAACACCCTAATCTTGTTTCAGAAAAGTCCCCTATAGATTCTTCTAGGTAGTCATGGCTAATCTTGTTTGAGGAAAGTCCTGACATCGGTAATGAACTCAGAATTTGGATAAAATATTGTGTTTCTCTTTGTGGATATCGCGCGAAATGGTTACAGAGCACACGTGACGTTTGAGGTAAAAGATCTCAGAAACTTGTCATTCGCAAAGCGAGAAACAGCGTTCACAAACGTCACAGGCAAGACATACTTATTAATCCATAAAAAAAAATTAATAATAAACATAATTTATTATATTAATATAAATATAAAGAAAGACGGAAAAATTTATACACGTAATAGAATAAAATACTCGTAAAAGAGAAAGTGGAAAGATGAGATAAAAAGAGAAAAAGATGATGTTATAATTGAGAATGAGATGATTTACAATCGAACGAAAAATGTTCGTTTATACAGAAGATAAAAAGCAAAAATTACTATGAATGCTTACTGACGGTAGGCTCCACAAGAGTAAAAAAAACTATCCGTAATTGTTGAACATAACATGTGCTTCTTTCTTTGACTTTTATAACACTCCTCCTTTAAAGACCAATGTGATTACTATTGTCTATTGTGTTATGTCTTTGTTGTCTTGTTAAAAAATTTTCTAGAAAAACTCAATAAGAAAAATCATAGGAAGGTGAAAAGAGTACAATTACGCAAGCTCCCCCTCGAATGACTAAATGTCACTCTACAAGTCTCGTTGATGACGCATTCCAATGGACATGTTTTCAGAACATAGTGGTAGGCAATGATTTTGTGAAGAGATATGCTGCGTTTTCGCGTGATCGGACATATCTTACTTCAATTTCTTTATTCTTCTCGAGTTCTTGAGTGTATGAGAAAAAATTAGGAGGGATATGTTTGGTTCTATCACTTTTGATGTATCCTTCCTTCGTCTGGGCAATGCATGCCGCATTTTCTTCGTACAAGACAGTTGGTTCTGTATTTACGTGAATTCCACTGCTTGACTGGATATGTTGACTTATTGATCTCAGCCATACACATTCTCTACTTGCTTCATGGAGCGCGATAACTTCAGCGTGATTTGAAGAAGTGGCCACGAGCGTCTGCTTCTGAGAACGCCAAGATATAGCAATGCCTCCGATCGTGAATACATATCCTGTTTATGATCGGGCTTTATGTAGATCCGATAAATATCCTGCATTTGCAAAACCAACCATTTGACCTTTTGAATTTTTAGGATAGAGTAAACCTAAATCAATAGTCTCTTGGAGATAACGAAAGACATGTTTGTTCCCGTTCTAATGTCTTTGTGTAGGGGACGAGCTGAATCTCGCCAGAAGATTAACAGCAAATGATATGTCAGGCCGTGTACAATTGGCTAGGTACATAAGGGCTCCAATTGCACTTAGATATGGTACTTCAGGACCAAGTATCTCTTCATTTTCTTCATGTGGTCGAAATGGATCATTTTCAACTTTAAGTGATCTAACAACCATATGAGTATTTAAAAGAGTTGCTTTGTCCATGTTAAAGCGTATTAAAACTCTTTTCGTATATGTGGATTGATGCACAAATATACCCTGTTCGGAATGCTCAATTTGTAAGCCAAAACAATACTTTGTCTGTCCAAGGTCTTTCATCTCAAATTCTCTTTTTAGATAATTTGATGCGTTTTGTATTTCCCCTTGAGTTCCGATAATATTTAGATCATCAACATATATCGCGATAATTACAAATCTGGATGTTATTTTCTTGATGAAAACGCATGGGCATATAGGATTGTTCACATATCCTTCTTTGGTTAAATGTTCACTAAGACGATTGTATCACACACGTCCAGATTTTTTTAGCCCATACAATGATCTTTGTAATTTTATTGAACATAACTCTTTGGGTTCAGAATTTAATGCTGCTGGCATCTTAAATTCGTCGGAAATTCTCATATAGATATCTGTATCTATTGTTCCATATAAGTATGTTGTAACGACATTCATGAGACGCATCTCTAGATTTTCATAAGCAGCTAGAATCATCAGGAATCTAAATGTGATTGCATCCATAACGGGAGAATATGTTTCCTCATAATCTATTACAGGTCTTTGAGAAAAACCTTGTGCCACAAGACGAGCTTTGTATCTCATAATCTCGTTTTTCTCATTTTGTTTCCGAACAAAAATCCAACCGGTCTCACATCTCCTGGTGTGAGTACAATTTGTTCGAATACATTTCGTTTATTAAGGGAATCTAGTTCAACTTTTATAGCATCTTTTCATTTCAACCAGTCTGGCCTATTTTGACATTCATATACAGATCTTGGCTCTGGATCTTCGTTTTCATCATCTATTTTCTTTGATACGAGGTATGAGAAAATGTCATCAACATTATTCATTTCATTTCTATTCCATATCATTCCATTATGGATGTAGTTGATGGAAATCTCATGATTTTTCTCAGGTTCTTGGGGCTCTGGATTATCATTAGTTTCGTGATTTGCTTCTTCCAAAATACTTCTGCTATTTTGAGAGTATTATGCATTTCAGCCTCCTTTCGTTTTCTAGGATTTTTGTTCTTAGAACCGACATGTCTACCACGCTTCAAGCGTGTTCTAGACTCATGTGTATCATCTGATTTTCCACGTTTTGTGGTATATCAATACGAGCAGGAGTATTTGCAGCTGGTATATGTGATTTAGTAACCGTCTCGGTATCTGCAAATGCATCAGGTAGCTGGTTTGCTATACTTTGCAAATGCATAATTCGTAGAACTTCTAGTTTTGTCTGTTTAGTGGGAGGATCAAGGTGTTACAGATATGGTACACTCCATTTGATATCCTTTCCTACACCCTTATTTCTCCCTCTAAAACCGGGAATACTTTCTCATTGAAGTGACATGCAATCGGAAAATCGTGCCGTAAAAACATCACCAGTTAGTGGTTCTAGGTATCGTATAATAGATGGAGGATCATATCCAACATATATTTTCAACCGTCTTTGTGGTCCCATTTTTGTATGTTGCGGTGGTGCTATAGACACGTAAACCGCACAACTAAAGATCCTTAGATGGGAAATATTTGGTTCTCGACCAAATTGTAATTGTAATGGGGAGTACTTATGGTACGCACTTGGTCTTATCCGAATGAGTGCTTCTGCATGCAAAATAGCGTGCCCCCATACAGATGTTGGGAGTTTTTATTTCATAATTAATGGTCTTGCAATCAATTTCAGACGCTTAATTAAAGATTCAGCCAATCCATTTTGTGTATGAACATGAGCCACAGAATGTTGAACTTCAATCCCCATTACCATGCAGTAATCATTGAATGCTTGGGATGTGAATTCACCAGCGTTGTCTAATCTAACTCTCTTAATGGGATAATCAGGAAACTGAGCTCGCAGTCTTATTATCTGAGTTAGAAATCTCGTAAATGCCATATTTCGAGATGATAATAGACAAACATATGACCATCTGCTGGATGCGTCAATTAACACCATAAAATAGTGGAATAGTCCACATGATGGGATGTATGGGTCCACAAATATCCTTTTGAATTCGTTCAAGAAACTTTGGTGATTCATTATTAACTTGGTTGGTGATGGCCTTACGATCAATTTACCCAGAGAACATGCAGCACATGTCATTTTATTCCTCTGATGTATCTCCTGGAATTTCATCGAATGACCATATGAGCTTTCTATAATTTTTCGCATCATTGATGTGCCTGGATGACCGAGGCGATAATGCCATAATGTTAAATCTTTTGGATTTCGTTTTGTCACGAGATGCGATTTTATTGCATCTATATAACTATGATGCAAACCAGAAGGGAGTTCTGGAAACTTTTCTAAGATGTGTCTTTTGTATCAGAGGTTACATACATATACTTCTTTCCATCCTCAGTTGGAGGCTGAGTGTCATATCCTTGACGTATATGTCTTTGAAACGCAACAATTTTTTTTAGAATTTGGAGAATACAAGGCAATATTGATGGAAAATTTTGTTCCATTAGGCAACGTAAAGTTGGCTTTGCCTGTTCATTGGATCAAGTCTGTGGGACCTGATATTGTATTGACAATAATTTTTGTCGGTTTCAAATTAGAAAATTTTTTTTTCTTTATCAGGATAGTGTGTGTTGTTCCACTATCTGGTATACAGATTTCTCGAACATTTTCTTTGGATGTTGTTCCATCTTTAATATGATTCATCTCGCCTATTATAGTAGTCTATATATTATGAATATATATTTAGCTATAATGTAGAGTGATCGTGCTGATAACGTGTTTTAATAATATGTATAATTTATTATTAAGATAAATATAAATAAAGATGAAAAATTTTATACCTGCATAAGAACATGATACTCGTAAAAGAGAAAGCAGAAGGATGAGAAAAAGAGAGAGGAGGAGGATGTTATAATTGAGAATGAGAAGATTTACAATCGAATGAAAAACGTTCGTTTATATAGAGGATAAAAAGCAAAAGTTATTATGTATGCATAGTGATAGTGAGCTCCACAAAAAAAAAAACTATCTGTAATTGTTGAATATAACGTGTGATTCTTTCTTTAACTTTTATAACAATTATTAAATTTCAAAGTGAACACCGAAAAGTTTTTGATTACCGTGTCATAGGGACAAACCAATTGGACTCTGAGTTAATTAATTTCTAAACTTTTTTTAATACTAGATTTTGAATCCGCAGAAAATCAGGTGGAAAATTCATTTTAGGAACATATGTAACTCTAAATTTTGATAGCAATACATCTCAATGCTTACCATGATGAAAATAATTATCAATGTTTACCTCAGTTGACAGTACTCATATATTGTCTTGTTATGAAATGAACCTGACATTTTGTGTTTGCCTTATCTAATCTTGAATGGAGAAATTAAGACAAAGACAATTATTTAGTCATTAGCTTTATGCAAAACCTAAACATTTTCATTTTTAATGATATATACTTTTTAGCAAAAGAAATAACTAAGTAAAGAGTTATAAAAACAAAGTAAATGACATATGTATTTGTGATTTCTGAAGCTAAAAACTTTCATAATTGGAAAGACACTGAAGGTTCAAATTCAAATACTGTTAAAGATCAACTCTTCAGATCATACCCAAACCTCAGAATACTTACAGAAAGCTATGTGTATATACATATACATATATTATCATTTCTTAATTAAGGAGTGATAATCTTATATTCAGGATCTTGTATGCGAGTTTCGTGAAACTTAGCAATGAAAGCAGTGGCTCTCCTATCGATACAGGGCTCAGCGATGCATGAACATCCATCCTCGTCTGTGCTCATGATTCTTGGCCTGACATTGATCACTTTCTCTTCGTTCCACTTGTCTCTGTCCTTGGCACGGCACGGAAAGAACGATCTGATTACAGCAAAAGATGATAACGATTTCCTCTTCCTTCCATTATCTTTCATTATTAGGAACTCTACATATATTATATGATAAGAGATAGAGAATGAGAGAGAGAGCTATGATGTTGATCAAACTCTTATACATCAGATAGAGATATATAGTAATAAGAATCCTAAACTATAATTGATTTAATACAGGAGAAAATTAGTAATTAAAATAGTGTATTAATTAATGAATTAAACAATTGGGTTTATGGTGGAGCCGTGGAGACAAGTATTGATGTCTAGATAGAATGTATAGGAATGTTTAGAGAGAGAGATCTACTCTAGAAAGCCATCACCTAAATACAGTTTTGTCTTTTGGTAGGGCTCCATATACGCAAACTCGATTCCCGATGAAACTGTGAATAATAATGGACACTAATTAACTTACACATGATTTTGATTACGCTCGTATGTGTATACATAGTTCGATAAAACAACAGTATAAGTACTCTTGGACCCAAGTTCGGCCTTAAGATTTAGTCTTTTTACCTTGTAAATTTTCGTTGTGACATATCACTTGACCAAATCAACCAAATCACAACATTTTTTTTGGACCATTCTTGATTTTTGCATGTCATCCTCGCGCATGGACGTACTAATTTTCTACGTATCATTCCAATCTGATGTCCTCGAAATGGACTATTTATACAAAATTGATCATTTCACTACAACCATTGTTGATAGGCCTTGAGGGGTGGACATTTCGGTTTTTAGTTTGGTTTTGGTTTGGTTTTCTCGGTTTTATGGTTTATCGGTTTTATAAAAATTCAAAATTATATAAAAACCATATATGTTCGGTATGGTATGGTTTGGTATTTTTTCGTTTTCAGTTTTTTGGTTTTATAAAAAATTGAAAACCATAGCCGAAAAAAAAAATAAAAAATAAAAAATTGAAAACCATATAAAAACCGTTTGCAATTCAGTTTGATTCAGTTACGGTTTTTTACAGTTTATTTTAACTTTCAATCATGGGAGATAAATGAAAAAGATATGGATAATAACAAAACCTTGAGCAGTTTTCATTAAAAAAATAATTTGAAATGCTGCCATCAATAACACCGTTGTATGCGGTAGCACTGTTGATTATGCCTTAAATTTATATTCTTGTTATGACTTTGCCACAACTGTATTCTGAATACTTCGTTGCCTACCTCTTATAATTTTATACGTATCGAACTAAATGTGTAGAGATTCGTCGGCAAAGCTATATAATATAGCTGAGATTCGGTGCTATTGCTTTTATTAATCTAACAAATAGGGTGAAGATTAGGCTGTCTTTTATTGAACGAATCATAATCCTCTTCTCTTGCTACATTTCTCTTTCCTATTCCTCTAATCTTATCACTTTATATATTCCATCTATTTAATAAGAGTTATTTTGTTTCCAAAATAAAAATATTCTATTTAGTTTAGTATCTCTGTTGTTGTTACTCTTGTTAACAACCTACCCGTTCACCAAAAATAGCTCTACGTAATAGATATTTCATGAGTTAATTAAATAAATGATAAAAAAACTGATGGAATTTGCAAAAATGACCAAGGGCCCACTAGAAACTCAAAACACTATTTCGATGGTTATCAATAAATACTATTTTGTCTTTCTTTGTATCGGTCATATAAATTTGTTTTTATGTGGACAATAGCTATAATTATTGCATAAGATACCAAAAATTTCGTAGGTATAAAAAAATCTGCTCAAATCTACTTTCAATGAATCTCAGCCACACAATATACTCCAAATTTAACTTCAATATACAGTATAATAACGAGTTATATATTTTGTTATAGATTAACAATTATTATATCATATATAAACTTATAAATTTACATATAATATTTTGTTTTACACGGTAAAGATAGTGTTAGATTGATAACAATAATAAGTTATATAAATGATTAAAAATATTATTGATATACTTAACATATAACATATAAATTAACGTCTAATATTATAATTTACTAGGTAAATAATATGTTAGATTGATAACAATAATGAGTTATATAGATGATTAAAGATGTTATTGATATATTTAGCACGTTACATATAAAATTGATGTCTATTGATGTCTAACATTATAATTTACTAGGTAAAAAATATGTTAGATTGATAATAATAATAAATTATATAGATTGTTAAAGGTGTTATATTTGTAGTTAGTGTGCTACAAATACATAGAGCATTCTATTAGATATGTTAGCAGTCAAAAAATAAATTTATAAAAGTAATTCAGCTAACTACACACTATTAAATATGTTAGTACCAATGAACAACTAAATTTACACTCATATTTACAGATATAACCATATCATGTAGATAACACAGTAGAATTTGAGCCATTAACGGGCCTTAATTTATGGTAGCCCATTAGAGAAGGCCGCCTTTCAGTTTCGGCCTATAAAAAGAGCAAACTGACAATAACGTTTCCCACGTGTCACTGCTTATCAATTACCTCTAATCTCAACCAATAATGCAATATGACGACCCTTGTCCAAAACACTCTCACCAACATCAATCAATTATGGAGGTTTTTGACATTTTTTTTTTTGTCCCCAAAAAACTAAAAAAAAGTGAGCGCTTTAACGCAACGACAAAAAAAACCCATTCCATTCGAATAACGCATGTAAAGTCCAACAATTCAATTCCATCATTTTCTCACTTTTTTCTCAGCCTCCCTTATCATCAAAGAAGGCACTCCCCTCACCTACCTAACCCCCTTTCTCTCTTTCTTCTGAAACAGGGCACACAAATGGATTCTGTTTCTGCATCGTCCAAGACCAAAGCTTTAGACCCTCCGCTTCACGCCTTAGGCTTCGAGATCGATGAATTATCTCCAACACGTGTAACAGGACGTCTTCCAGTTTCTCCAATCTGCTGCCAGGTATCATCTCCTTCTTCTTCAATTTTGATCATTGACTCTCTTTTCCCACCAAATTCTGATGAAATATCATTTTTTTTTCTCTCAAAGCCTTTCAAGGTGTTACATGGTGGTGTATCTGCTTTGATCGCTGAGTCTTTAGCTAGTATGGGAGCTCACATGGCTTCAGGTTTCAAAAGGGTCGCTGGAATTCAACTCTCGATCAACCACTTGAAGAGTGCTGATCTCGGAGACCTTGTATTCGCCGAAGCATCTCCTGTAAGCACAGGCAAAACCATTCAGGTTTGGGAAGTCAAGCTTTGGAAAACAACAAAAGGATCAGAGAAAGCTAACAAAAGCTTAATATCTTCCTCTAGAGTCACACTTCTTTGCAATCTTCCTATCCCTGAACACGCCAAAGATGCATCAGACCCGCTCAAACTGATCTCCAAGTTGTAGATTTCAATGCTTTGTTCTCTCTCTCTCTCTATCTATGATTGAGTTTACTTGTATGTAACTATGTATCATCTTCTAAAAAAATTAACCTTTTGGGTGATAATAAGCTAAAAGTGGCAAAAGACAAGTCAACCGTCGTTGTCCTTGATGTGCAGAATCTACCGGAATATCAAGCGTGGAGCATCTTTCCTTATATTTAAAAAAAACCCCAAATTTTTGCGAATATAGTTCACAAGTAGCAATAGCAATCTAGTCTGTGATTTGTTAGGCCTGGAAAAAGGATGAAACTTTAACCTCATGTGCTTACCTCAGATTTGTGAGGACAGCTTGTGTCTGTAGACAAACAATGTTGTCAGATCTCAATCAAGTTCTAGGAGTTTGAATGCTTGTCGGGTGCATCATTTGCAGGGTGACCACCAAAAATCCTGCACCTTTTGTAACAAATAAGAAACATCAGGCATAAACACAATGAAGAGAGCATAACAATGTGGCAAGCAATTGAACACAAGATAGAGATGCTATAATAGGATCTAATTACAACAAACTTGAGTTTTGGTGATTTTCATGTCTAAGCGACATCAAAGTCTATTCAAGCAACAAATATCAAATAATGATCTCTTATCATATTCCAATACATGGCAGGAAACTACCCGAAAGATGCAGCTTTGATCGGTGCTTAGGGCTACAATAGCTCAGCGAGAGAATAAATTAGGAACCAATAATAATCTGGGATTTATCAAATTGTGGGCTCACGAGAGAAGAAGAACCAGTTTTTTTTCAGATTGGATTAAATTAGGAGTTTTTACCATTGAAGGATGACGAAGAAGAAAGACAGATAATGCCCAATAAGACAAAATTGAAGAATGCAGAGAGATCATGCTCAACATTCAACATCACCTTCGAGTTCTTCTCTCAATCTTCTCTACGCAGTTCCAGCGACTATTGTAAAATTATAAGGGTGCTCAATCCGGTTTAACCCATCCCAGAATTGAGCCGAAATCGTACAAGAACACCGCAATTCTTGAAATTGATTTCTCAAGAACCGAATTCAACCGAAACTAAAAGGTATTCCCTTTACGTAAACCGAACAATTCGAATCAAACCGATACGAAAACCGGATTTGGTGTGGTGGTTCTTGGTATAGAAAGGAGTGGATCGTATTACACATTGTCTCTCTCTGTGAAACACAGCACACAAATGGATTCTGCTTCTCCATCGTCCAAGACCAAAGCTTTAGCCCCTCCGCTTCATATCTTAGGTTTCGAGATCGATGAGTTATCTCCAACTCGTGTCACAGGTCGTTTTCCCGTTTCTCTAATCTGCTGCCAGGTTTTCATCTTCTTATTGTTCGTCTTCAATTTGATCATTAACCCATTTTCCCACCAAATTCTGAGAAAATTTTCAATTTTTTCCCTCTCAAAGCCTTTCAAGGTCTTACACGGTGGTGTATCTGCTTTGATCGCTGAGTCTTTAGCAAGTATAGGAGCTTACGTGGCTTGTGGTTTCCAAAGGATCGCTGGAGTTCAACTCTCCATCAACCACTTGAAAAGTGCTGATCTTGGAGACCTTGTCTTCGCCGAAGCATCTCCTGTAAGCACAGGCAAAACCATTCAGGTTTGGGAAGTCAAGCTTTGGAAAACAACAAAAGGGTCAGAGAACGCTAACAAAAGCTTAATATCTTCCTCTAGAGTCACAGTTCTCTGCAATCTTCCTATCCCTGATCACGCCAAAGATGCATCAGACCCGCTTAGACTGATCTTCTCGAAGCTGTAGATTTCAAAGCTTTGTTCTCTCTCTATGATTGAGTTTAGTTGTATGTAAGACCCTATGGGTCTGTTCTATGATCGAACTTTAATCTTCTAAAGAATTTAACCTTTTGGGTGAGAACTAAAAGTGGCAAAAGACAGTCATACCACAATGTCTTGGGATCTTATACAGTTATACCAATTGGTGATATGTGTTTTTGCAACAGAAAATCCTCTGTTTACTTCAAATAAAACAAACTGTTTGGTCCACTGGGAATACAGATGTTTTCATATAGTTAATTGACAAATACAGTATTATTCTTCTGTAAGATCCTGTTTGGCCTGGAAAAAACAAGATGGAACTTTGTCTTCATGAGCTTACCTCAGATTTGTTTAGGACAGCTTGTATTTACAGACACAAGATGTGGTCAGATCTCAATCAATCCTAGGAGATAGAATGCTTCTTGGAGGCGCCATTCCAGTTTCCACCACCACTAATCCTGTGCCTTCTGTAATAGGATTGCCTCCTACAAGCTAGAGATGCAAAAGACTTTACTTCCATTTCAAGTGAGCAGGAACATTACAGAGCAACATAAGCAACACACCTGAGTGATGTGGAGATTATGCCATCACTTTAGATTTAATGTACTCAAAATTGGCCGTTTTATTCAAAGTGTAGTCCTTTTTAAACATTCAGAGATAAAACAAAACCTGCTCTTTGCATCCACCAGCCAAAAGATCATTATCAGAAAACTCCATAGAAGATCCTTGTCAACATCAATCAATATACAAAAAGTATTAAAGAAATTAAATCATACAAAGCCTTATTGTGGAAAGGAATTACATTGTTCGCCATGGTTGAATTTGTCTCTATCTATCATCTACAAACCGCACAGTCATAACTCGCACATTGATGACGATGGAGCTAAGGAACATAATTAATTCTGGTCGCTTCACGTTTTTGAATTCAATATAGATCATAGAAGATATTTTGGTTTTTATGCTGACCACATAATAATTCATAAAACTCTAAGGAATCTCGTCTACAAAGAATACAGTAAAAACTCTATAAATTAATAATGTTGGGATTTTGATATTTTATTAATTTATAGAGTTATTAATTTATAGATTTCAAAGAAAAAATATTGTTTGTTTTTTTATTAATTTTTAAAAATATTTGTTAAAACATTATAATCTTTAAAAAAATCTTTCTAAAATAAAAAATAAGTTCTAAGAAGATTTTCATTTAAAATAAAATTAAAAATATCTCTAAACTCATATTTTAGTAGATTATCTCACTTTTATGTTTATATCAAATTTTTTTATGGTAATTATTAATTTATAATATAACTGGGACCAAATATTTACATAGGAATTTTGTTAAAATTATTATCTTATTATCTTATCGAGTTATATCATATTTTGAACTGGCCCAATTCGGGACCATGTAAAATTATTAATTACGTGTTTATTAATATATCGAGTATTAATTTATAGAGTTTCTACTGTAGATTAATGGGCAAACTCGGTTTTAAGATAGGTTTGTTTTAGGTTTTGGGTTGTTTAAGTATAAAAAATATTTGACCAAATTGATGTAGATGAAATTTAAATAATAAATATAATAATCTATTATATAAAGATTCAGGTGAGTCTCACAAGCTTGACACACACAAGCTTGACACATAAGTTTATATTCTTAAGACACATCATTTACCACATCAGCTCTTTAAAATAATTTAAAAACAAAAAATCCATAGCTGAGATAAATTAAACGTTTGTCATTGGTCCAATCAATTAAAGTAAAAACACCTTAAAAACGTTACAAATTCTTATCATGCACGTTCAACCTTCTAACAATAATTACTTCAACCTTACTTATAATAATAAAATATATTGTATCTTAATCGGAATGAAACTCCAAAAAGAAAAACATTACAATATCCATTGTTGAACAAAAAAGTAGAGAAACAGAAGAGACTGAACAAAAAAAATGTCTGCAAGTTGAAGAAATTTCAAGATATAGCAAAGTAAGTTATTCAGTATAAAACAAACACTAAACAAAATACTGATTTTTCATCTATTTTAAATACTTGTCGATTTTTATAGACAATTAGTTTTCACTATTTTCTTAAAATTATGGGTTCTGGCAATTGTTCTATGTTTAGTTTTAAAAAACACTTCAAATCAAAGTTCATTTCTCTGTCTTTATAATTTAAAATAACAATGTCTTACAAATTAAAGTTATATTATTACAAATGTTCAGAAACAAACTAGCATATTTATTTAACAGGATCACAAACTCTCCATGTTACTTGATAGAAATAGATATTCAATGTAGAATTATAAGAGAAATAATCAGGCAAAGAGTTTTTCTAATGAATTACATTTTGATTCTTAATTTGATGTTTGTAATTTGTCCACAGTTAACTATATACAGGGAATAATAATTCTTTTGAATTTTGGATCTGTGCTAATGATAGGCTATCTGGGTGTATTTTGTAATGAAGATGGTGAATTAAATTAAACTATTATCAATTGAAAGTAAACCAAAACACAAAATAGAACACATTGATACATCACGTTCTTTTGATGTCACCAACAAACAAAAAAAGACAAATAAGAGTTCCATAATGTAAATTTATCCAATATTTTAATTGAAAATGTAAAAAAACAATTCATTCATGTTAAGACTATTTATATAATTCGGTAAATTTTTATGTAGGATATATGTTCCGATGTTTATAGCCAAACATAAAATACAACAAAGTGGTTGATAAATAGAACAAACAAAACCAAGTACCTAATGATTTGAGTGCTGAATCATAAAACTTAACCAATGTCAAACAAAATTAGATTAGTTTGCTTTAGGACAAATGAATTAGTAAAAAGTTTAATATCATAAAAAAATATGGTATGTTTTTTAATCTGATTATGTAACTCATGTTCAGGTGATATTGATGTAGGTTAAATAATGAACAAATATCTGAAGAAAATATTTATTTTAACAAAGTTTTCAAAATTGTATATTAGATGATTAATTTTTTAGAAAAACTAAGCAAATAACTAATAATACATACACATAAACATATAGATTTATTAAAAAACCCGCATATCTATGCGGGTATTCATCTAGTATTATATAAAGTTTAACTCGCTCAACGTGAGCATAGCACATAATATAATTTCATGAAATATGCAGAAAAATAAAAATAATTAAATTTTAGTATAATTCATTCGCATAATTATGATTCATATAATTAGATTTTACATTAAAATCCTATCTATATATTTCTTTGTATAGTGATTTGTTTAGGTGTGGACTCTAATTTCGCTTATGTGTCAGAATGAGTTTCAGCTGAAAAAATATTTTTTTAACCATATTTTTAATTACATGTCATTTTGTGATTGATTCTTATCTGATGATATCTTAAAATAACTTCAAAAAAAAACTGTTCTAAATAATTATGGTTTGATATAATGTTTTCAAACCTGTAGCGGACCGAGCGGTCTGATTGGTTGAACTGCGACTCGGCGAGATTTCCAGTTAGTTTTTGTTGAAAATACGGGATGCTATTAAACCGTTCAAACCTAGAAAATTTTGTTTAAATCCGGTGAACCAGCAAAAACCCGATCCAGAAGATTTGTAGTAATAACGGTTTGTTTTCTTTTATTTTATTGAATGGTTTGTTACTTTTTCACCATTAGTAAATTTTATAATATAAAAGAAAATAAATTATGAAAAATAATAGATGGCAAAATGCTTAGCAAATCAAATGTTAGAATTTAATAATTAATAAAATGTTAGTAATTCAATAATTAATAATATTAAATGTTAAAAGGAAAAAATAAAATCATTAATTACTCACTAATGATATATGTAATCCATCGATAAAGTCTAATTCGAGAGAGCCATTTAATAATGCAATTTTCCACCATATCCATTACATGCAATCTCATTGACACTCTGAAATACAAATGAACTTATATGATCTTAATAAAAATTTCTCCGTCATAACCCTCAAACTCCACACACATATCTTGCAGATCGATTGTGATTTTTTGTTGTTTTAGAGGTTATGTTGGTGAGTATTTTAAAGAACCATGTAGAGAAAAAAAGAGCTAGAAACCATGACGGTGTTTTAATGTTGATGTTTTATTGGCTCCATTGAATTAGAGATTGATAGGATCAAAGATTCATATCATTGGAAATTTCCTCAAAACAAATATTGGCAGCATAAGCCAATTATTTTGTTTAAATATATTATCAATGTTTTTCAATATATAATTTTTATTGAATTTTTGTATGAAACTCAATCCATAATTTTATCCACAGTTGCTCCTTATATAATAGTAACAAAAATAATTTATTTTTTCTCTGTGATTTGTCGAGTTTTTTTTATCATATGGATCATGGAATAAATATAAATTATTCGAATCACTGAATTTTCATAGTTAGAAAGTATGGGCCTCATGGCATATACAAAATTCAACTGAAATTTGAAAATTTATGTAAAATTTAGATTTTTAAATATATGTTGTCGCCACAATAGATCAATAAAACAACATTTACTTTTATTTTAAATCTGTGCAAAAATAATATTCAATATTAATCTTGTGTATTTTTGAAATATTTATTAACATATAATATATACTTTTTACATGGTTGACAGCCTTATCAAAGCCATCGAATACGAACATGTAATATTTTCTCCAAATTTAAGAAAAACCACAAATGAAAGGATTATATTCAGTAAGATCTAAAACAGTTCGATTCCATCATCATGCAGAAGCCACACAAAAAAAAAAACCATAAGTCACTAAATATATTATGAAATGAAATCTGTGACTTAAGCTAAAAGGTAAAACGATATTATCTCTCGAGAGGCTTCTTCATCTTCTGACGTCCCCATGTCTTAAATTCATCTGTTATCTCCTCAAAAAGGATTGCATATTCTTTGATCTCACTATCTTCAGCATAAGTGTCGTCTCCTATTTTTCCTCTCTTGAAGTACATATTCTGAACTCATAAAAAGTCACTAAACTAAACTACTTTTAAATACAAAAAGCTTATCTTTAGAGATATATAGATAGAGAAACATATATGTTGTAACACGAAGTGTAAAGGATAAACAAACGTCGATTAATATTTTGTTTTTTCAAAAACTACAAGAACATGAAGAAGAGAAAACTGAAGAACACTTCTTAGTTAAAGGAGAAAGAAACTGAGATGTTTAAATATAATAAACGTATAATAAATAAATTATTTTTTTAATATTAACATTTGAATTATTAAGTATTTGTAGCCCGCACACGGTGCGGAGACATTAGGTAGTTAAATTATTTATAATTTATGTTTTATGATTCACAATTAAGAAATTATAAATTATCCATATTATCTAGAAATCTGATAAACCATTATTCTAAATAAATAATAAAGTTTGAAAATTTTAATTTTCATTATATTATACTTTCTATTTTCTCTTATTATATATATTTAATAATTTCTGTTTGAAAAAACATAATTAGATTTTAAAATTGATAATCTACATAAACATGATCCATATAATTAGATTCTAAATCATAATTTTATTAAATGATTTATAAATTACATTTTAACTCACAATTAAGGAATAGAAACTGATCCATATACTATCCATAAATCTGATAAATAATTCTGCTAATTAAATGTTGAAATCCAAAAACATAATTATCATTATATGGTAGTTTTGTGTTTTTCTTACTTTACCTTTTCAATTTAGTAATTTATATTCAAAAATATATTTAATTTAATTTTTTCTCTTTTTTTAATAAATAATTAAGAATGTAAAGTTTATATTACATTGACACATGTCACAATTTAAATTAATGATGACACATATCATGATATAGTGACTTATAAAAATCTGAAGTGTCAGCCT